GGGGGTCTCAGGGTCGATTTTACATTGTTCATCATGCATTTTTAGAAGAATATAATAATCGTACTTGGTAAAGGGTACACTTTATGGGCTGTTTTTTGCATACCGGTGATGATGAGCGTGGTAAAACGGGCGTGAGGGACGCAATTTCGGGGGCAGAAAGAAGAAGGGCGGCGGTGCGCGCACGACCTTCACCTGCGGCTGCGGGGGCTGCGGCCGTTTGAAAGTCAGCAGCAGACTCAGCAGAGGGAGGGAGGCGACGCGGGCAGTGAAGTCACTCCTTTTCTCCAAAAATTCTCCCTCATTTTCCATCTCCTCTTCTCCCTCCCCAAATCGAAGTCTTCAATGCCCCAAACCCACCGCCCATTCCCCCTCCCTCCCTCCCCCAAGAAACCCTCCTCCCGCCGCCGGAAACCCGCCCCGCTCTCCGCCAGGCCCCGAGCCCTACTCGACTCGCCGTGCATCCTCCTCCAGTCCGCGCGGCGCTCATCGCTGTTCCTTTTCTCGAATCTTCTATTTCCTGGCCTTTCGGGGGATCCCCTTCCTTTTTGTTGCTTCATTCTGGAAAGCGCCCGGTCGTTTCCCCCGGATTCGCCGCGCTTCAATCTGGATTGTTTGTTTCGTTTTGCTCGCTTGCTTGCTTCCAACTTTATGTGGTCTCAGCTCTCTCCCGCGTTTCCTCGACCCAGCAGGCGAACAACTTCTTCTTCTGGTACTTCTCGCTGATTTGATTCGATCCCAACCGCCACCATGGTTTCCTTCTGAATTACTTCCCCAAGAACCTGGCTTCAGTCTGAAGAAAGAAAAGGTTAAAGAAGAGGTCGAAGCTTCTTGATTTGATTTGAACCACGCAGACCGCCCAAATCAATCTTGACAACAACAACAGAAAAAGGAAAGAAAAGGAAATGAGGCTTGTGGTGCATGTCATCGAGGCCCGCAACCTCCCGGCGGCGGAGGCGCAGGGGCTGGGCGACCCGTACGCCAAGCTGCAGCTGGGGAGGCAGCGGGCCAAGACCAAGGTGATCAGGAAGTCGGCCAACCCCGTGTGGGACGAGGAGTTCGCCTTCCGGGTCGGGGACCTCAAGGAGGAGCTCCTCATACGCATCACCGACGAGGACAAGTACTTCTCCGACGATTTCCTCGGCCAGGTCAAGGTGCCCCTCTCCGCCGTGCTCGACGCCGACAACCGCTCCCTCGGGACGCGCTGGTACCCGCTGCAGCCCAAGAGCAAGAAGTCCAAGATCAGAGATTGCGGTAACCATCTTCTTTCCACACATCATTTTTTCCCCTGTTCTTTTCTTAGTTAAATATAATTGTTTCATGGTGATGATAATGTGGTGTTGATTTTTCTGAATTCGTGTAGTTGGACAGTGACCGACCCAGTGTTGTGATAGATGGGGTTGTGCTAGTTTAACCCTCCTTGGTGCATCCTCTTTTCGGCAATAGCTTCTGTCCGTGACCTTCCATACATCATGTTGTTCATATTCTTTTCTTAGTTAATTGTGTACTCATCTGAAGGCTCGCAAGCAACAGGTCTAGGGAGAATTCATACGATAACCCACCAGCCGCAGTTGCTATGAATCAATCTATAGTTGGTTCCTGAGGAACAGGGTGCCACGCCGTTGGGCTATGAAACAATTAGCAGCTCCTTATCATTTCTGGGAACATATTGCTTCCCAGATTATCCAAAACTTCTGACATAATCAATACAGTAGTGGATGTATGCCTGTCATAGCTTTACTGCCTTTTTTATACTTATCCTTAGCTTCCAACCCACTATCAGCTGTTTATCCCTTGAATGATGTATTTAATGACTTAATCTGTTAGGAATTATAGAAAACTAGACTATGGGGACTCTTTTTCTATTAGCATCAAATATTCACTATTTTGGCTTGTAATGAGGTGAATAAGAATGGTGCCCATCTCACCGACATGATTATCCTCTTTGGTTATTTGTGCATAGACTGCAGCCTATTTTTCAGTGTGGGCAACTATTTACACGCTGCTAAAATATTCTGTAGGAGAAATTCATCTTACCATATCTCTATCTCAAAGTTACCCTGAAGAGACAGCGACACTTGCACATTGGGCTTCAGACGACTTTGCATCAAGTTCAGACAAATCAAGTGAATTAAGGAAGGGATCTTCTTTGCCAAATATTCCTATAGAACTATCCACGTCGCCACCAGTTACTGATGAAGCAGAAATTACTAAGCAGGATAAATCAAATGCTGGTCCATCATTTGTCAACCGGCTAAATCAATTTTTTTCAGTAAAACCAAAAGACACAGAAGCTTCTGTTCCACCTGTGTTCAAGCATGACCGTGGTTTGGACACTCTTGAAGAAATGCCATTAACAAGCTCACAACTTTCTGATGAGCAGGATTTTGAAACTAGTGCAAATATGTCATTTGATGAACTACTAAAAGCCTTTGCATCTAAGCATGAAGGGAATGATATGCCTGGAAATTTGTCAGGTGGAATTCTTATTGATCAGGTTTATGCCGTTGCACCCAATGACTTGAATACACTTCTTTTCTCACCAAGTTCAGACTTTCTGCAATCACTAGCGAAGATGCAAGGGACTACCGGTCTGGATATTCAACAATGGAGACTTGAAAATGATGGTGAGATCTTGAAGAGGGTTATAACCTACACAAAAGCTGCTACTAAACTAGTTAAGGCCGTGAAAGCAACAGAAGACGTGACATATCTCAAGGCAGATGGAGATATGTATGCAGTTTTAGCAGATGTCAGTACTCCTGAAGTCCCTTTTGGCAATAATTTTAGGGTGGAGATTTTAACCTGTATAATGCCAGGGCCTGAACTAAGAGATGATGAAAGATCTTCACGGCTTGTAATCTCGTGGCGCTTAAATTTCATGCAAAGTACCATGATGAAGGGCATGATAGAAAATGGTGCAAAACAAGGACTGAAGGACAACTTCAGTCAGTTCTCTGAACTTCTGGCTCAAAATGTCAGACCAGTTGATGCAAAAGATACAACAACAAATAATGAAAGCTTGTCTTCAGTGCAACCGGAAACAGAATCCGATTGGAAACTAGCATTCCGAATCTTTGGAAATTTTACTGTTGTATCCTCCGTTGTTGCGTTTATCTATGTTTTTGCACACATCATCCTTGCAAGTCCTAGTATAATTCAAGGTCTCGAGTTCCCTGGCCTGGACTTGCCAGATTCTGTTGGTGAAGTTGTGGTTTGTGGAGTTCTTGTTCTGCAAGGACAACGTGTCCTTAATATGATTGCACGGTTTGTCCAGGCAAGGAGGCAAAGAGGTAGCTCATATTTCCTTTCTGGTTTTACTCCCGTTCTTTTTCCTAGTAGGAATAGAAGCATTATGCATGAACTCATGTGTTATTTAACAGAACACTGCGAATAATTTCAGTGACAAGATAAAAATGCTTCTTTACGAATATTCTGATGCAAAAAAGGGTTACTGTTACTTTTTATTTTTCTTCAACAGAATCTTCAGTTATTATTATGGACATATACTCTTATTTTTTCAAAGAGGGAATGCCCCCGGTCTGGACATATACTCTCATAATCTGCACTTATCAGCAAACGTTGCTTACATGGTCTTTTGGAATGTGTAGGCGGTGATCATGGTGTCAAAGCAAAAGGCGATGGCTGGTTGCTGACTGTTGCTTTGATAGATGGGACCAACTTATCAGCAACAAAGTCATCTGGTTACTCTGATCCATATGTTGTATTTACTTGCAATGGACAGACAAAGACAAGCTCGATTAAGTTTCACACTCTTGAGCCTCAGTGGAATGGTAAAGCTATAATTTAATTTGTTTGCAATATTTACTAGCCATCTCATAACTCGTTAGAAATGCATTTGAATCCAGCTTATAATTTATTTATTTTGCAATATTTACTAGCTACTCCCTCTGTTCCAAAATAAATGTCATGGCACTTATTTTGGAACGGAGGGAGTATTGATAACTCGCTAGAACATATTTGAAGCCATCTCTATTTGACCTATTTACATTTGCTAGCATTTTGCTTTAATTCACATAGTTGTAAACTGTAGAACTCCCAGTAACCAAAATGTATTAACGTGCTCAAAGAAACCTCTATTTATTTGTAAGTATTTTTAGGTCTTTCGAGTGGCAAGGTTTCATTATAACCTTTTCAAAATTTGCAGAAATTTTTGAATTTGATGCCATGGAAGACCCACCCTCAGTGATGGAAATAAACGTATATGATTTTGATGGACCCTTTGATGAAGTTGCCTCCCTTGGTCACGTTGAAGTAAATTTCTTGAAATATAGTATATCTGAGCTTGCCGACATTTGGATTCCTCTCAAGGGAAAGCTGGCTCAAGCATGTCAATCAAAATTACATTTGAGAATTTTCTTGAACAATTCAAGGGGTACAGAAGTTGTGAAGGATTACCTGGACAGGATGGAGAAAGAGGTTGGCAGAAAGGTAAGGTCTCTATTCCCTATCATCAAGTGATAAAACCAAATCATACTCTTAGGACCATATGTGCCTATCACTCAAATACTACAATTGTGTACATTCATAGAATTTATAAATGTAGAGCATATTAGAACTTGGAAAATGTTCACTTGCTAAAAGTTCTAGAAGAATATAGTCATTTGCACTGTTACCAAGAAGACCAAAGTTTGCATGCTTATTTGTCATTTAGTATGTTTCTTTTATCACATGCAACACCTGTCTACAATTTTAGTGAGAAATTTTGAAATGCACAAGTGTGCAGAACAAATAAAGGTGTATACGGTACATATAATCAGTCCATGACTTGATTGATGCCAATCTCATTATGCAGATTGCTATGCGATCACCTCACACGAACCTAGAGTTCCAGAAGATCTTTTCTTTGCCACCAGAAGAATTCCTTATCAATGATTTTACCTGCCATTTAAAGCGCAAGATGCTCACACAGGTAAATTTATTTGCTTCTGCTGTGTTTCTGTTGTACTGCAAGCAAATCCTCATTCATTTTGTAATACAGTACCATGTGCTGAGAAAGTGGATTCAGTATCCTCAAATTGAAGAGTCAGCTGGGATCCTGAGTCAGCTATAGGCACAACTGTAATTCCAGATTACAAAAGTATGCAAATCTACAATGGTGGTCACTATTTTCAGCCAGTATGATGTAGTACAAAGATTCTGTTCAAACTTATTCAGTTTCTGAACCCAGTTAAAACAATATAATTATTCATCTTTCTGCCTTGTTTCGATTTTCCTGCTCTACTATAAAAAGGTACTCCCTCTGTCCCATAATGTAAGTTGTTTTCTGACACTACATTATTAGTGTCAAAAAACGTCTTACATTATGGGACGGAGGGACTATCAAATATTGTCTGTTAACCACTTAAGCATACTTATGATTACCAGTAATCAGTGTCATATTTCACATGGTCATGCTACTGTTAATCTGAATTAACATCTTAGTTAGACATAAACATCTGTTTCGTATGACTGCTCGGCTGCTTAGTCTTATGGCTGTCTTGCAGGGTCGCTTGTTTTTATCCCCAAGAATTATTGGGTTCTACACAAATCTTTTTGGCCACAAAACAAAATTCTTCTTTCTTTGGGAAGATATTGAAGAGATTCAATTGCTCCCTGCAACTCTATCTTCGATGGGAAGCCCATCTCTGCTGATTACTCTTCGCAAGGGCAGAGGAATGGATGCAAGGCATGGAGCAAAGCAACTGGACGATGAAGGGAGACTCAAGTTTCATCTCCAATCCTTTGTGTCATTCAACGCGGCACATAAGTAAGTTAGTTTCGTGGATGATAAACATTAACTCGTCATATGTGGCTGGCCATCACAATAAACTACTTAAGGGACACCAATTTATTGTCCGGTTTATTTTTCTCTCTTCATGAGCATGTTCTTAAAAAATGTGAATTGCGTACTTTGCAGAACAATAATGGCACTGTGGAAGGCGAGGTCTTTGACCCCTGAAGAAAAAATTCAGCTGGTAGAAGAGGAATCAGAAACGAAAGACCTCCAAAATGAGGAAGGTGGATCTTTCTTAGGCATAGAGGATGTCAAAATGTCGGAAGTATTCTCATCTACAATACCTTTTGATGTAAGATTTCCTTATCTCATTCTGATAATGATGTACAATCCACTATGTGATGTATAACAATTGAAACAGTTACAATTTTAGATTGAAAGCAACTACTATGTTTCATCCAGGTTCCAGTACTCATGGGCATATTTGAGGGTGGCCCTGTGGAGCGTCGAATTATGGAGAAAGTTGGCTGTATGGACTACTCTGTGACAGCATGGGAACCAGTCAGGGCCGATGTGCACCAGAGACAAGTCCACTGCAGGCTTGACAAGAAAGTGGCACGCCGTGAGGGGGAAGTAATGAGCACCCAACAGAAGTCCCCGTTGCCTGATAAGAATGGATGGCTCGTTGAAGAAGTGATGACACTTGAAGGTATCCCACTCGGCGAATTTTTCAATGTAAGAAATGATTTTCTGGCATTGTAATGTTTATTTTTATTTTTATTAAACATCTTAGTATTAGCTATATATTTCAATTGTGCATGATATTATATCTTGTTAATCTTGTCGTATTCTTGCCTGCTCTTCTTATGTTGCTTTCTTGGTCACACCTTCCTCTTGATGGTTGTCATGACATCTTTGTTGCCAAACAAATGACCTTTTGTTAACTTGATAATCTTGAATTTGTATGTCCTCTTTTTTTGTTCTATGTATTTCCTCATTTTGGTTAACTGAACACAGTACATATATCTTGGTTGCTTTGTTCGTGACTCTCAATAAGATTATCCTTTTGAATTGAAAACCTTTCAATAAGATTTCTGTGGTCATTGTGGTGACGTGGCTATCCTGAATTTAAAAAGTTGTCGGTACACAATATACAAAACAATCACATTGTTTACCCATGTATGCATTACACCTAAGCATGAGAAAGGTAGTCTCTGTTCAGTTCATTAGCTTTGTCAAAGGCAACAACTACTGTCTATGTTCTCGTCATTTTGTCACAACTGAGATTTCAGATTTTTTGACTCTGACATAGTTATTACATAACTTCCACAGCTCCATATTCGATACCAGTTGGAGCAGACTTCGTCCAAGCAGAAGTCATCCAGTGTCCAAGTATTTATTGGTATGGCATGGTTAAAGAGCTGCAAGAATCGAAAGAAGATCACGCAGGAGGTGGCATCCAAGTTGTCTTCTCGCCTCAAGAAGATATTCAGCCAACTTGAGAAGGAACTTATACCAGCTAACTAGGAGCCATTTTTCGCATCCTACTTTCGCTGCTGCACACTCAGCCAACTTGAGAAGGAACTCATACCAGCTAACTAGGAGCCATTTTTGCTGGTGCACATAGATATATGGATCACCAGAAAGCATCTTCTGGTCTGTGATGACCAATTTTGAGTTTTGGCAAGGATTGTACATAGTGAGGATGATTCCACGCAGGGCCGATTGGAGAACTAAAAGAAGGGCCAAGAAGGTAGATTGATTAGTATTCAGATAGGTAAATCATGTTAGATGACCAGCACCGGCAAGTGTCCCTGGAGTTGTAAACTCCCTATAGGTAAATCACCATTCTTTTCAACACTGTACTCAAGGAAAATCGACAGGTCTCTTCGGCCATGTGTGCTGAACCTTTATACCTGGAGTTCTGGGAAACCAGTTTCATAGTTAGGCCAAATCGTCAGGTCTCTTCGGCCATGTGTGCTGAACCTTTATACCTGGAGTTCTGGGAAACCAGTTTCACAGTTAAGCCAAATCGTCAGGTCTCTTCGGCCATGTGTGCTGTTATGAAGCCTGATATCCGGCGTGTACATACACTTTTTCTTGAGACTTTCAATACATCGAAACACAATAGTGAGAATCATGCCTGATAGGATGGTACATCAGTAACAAGCATGCCTGATACAATTACATTTCTACTCTTTGAGCACCTTGGCTCAGTGAAATTGTGCGAGGATAAATGTGACATTTTTCAGAGCAACTAGAGGCCAATCAGATGATCAAAAATGACATATCCAAGCATATATATATGCTCAAGTACAAATAGTAGCATTGACTAGGTCTGAAGGTTTCCTTATTTGGGCAGGGTGAGCACACAAAATTGGTGGCAAGTTTACATGGGCTCCATCACCACCACCAGCTTGAAACAACAAACTTTACAAGCACCGGCTTATTTCCGACCTGGTATTTACACATGCATAATTGCACACAAAACTCCGGATTGCAGCAGAATTCACATAAAAATATAACGCAGCAGGATACTTCACAACTACAGCCATCTTTCGCCTAAGAGAACACAATCTGGAAGCATACCGCCGAAAACACCGCAGTCAGGGTAGGTGGATGCCACATAGTCAATAGAAAGGGAGAAAAACGCAGGAAGTCCATCTAGTTGCGTTGTCTTCATTCACCAAAACTGCTCTGGAAGCAATAGAAGACGCGAGTTCCATCCGCTGTACAGAAGGAACAGGAGAAACGGCGTTGAAAACTTGCACAACTTTCAAATCTTTTTGCCTCGTTGGTTGCTTTCTGTTCTTTTCTTTCCAGAGGTGGGTATGCCATGATTGCTTCAGCGTCTGATTTATCGATTTATCCCAGCTGCAATAGGCACTGGTTTAAGCTAACCTAAGCACAATGCTTTTCTGCATTCAGTAGCTCCTTGTGTCGAGCGGATCATAGTCATACGCTTCACCGGCCTTAACAAACCGTCCCTTGACTCTCTTTCTCACATCCGCCCTAGCCTTGCGAGATTCATACCTGATCTTGTGGTCAAACCTATCAAAAGAGCCACAACAGATGAAGAATAGTCAGCTAACTATCAAGGAAAAATAGGAGATAGAGCTACATAGGCAGTAGCATGTCAGAAAATATACAAGCTACAGAATATTTTTGTTGTATATGATTAAAAATTACCACATGGTTACAAGTAAATATGCAACGCCTTCCAGAAATAAAAAGACACAGGAAGTTTAATAATAAAGGCACTTACTTTCTTCTTTTCTTCTTCTCCTTGTACCGTGTGATAGCACTGTCTCTAATTCCAGCAAATGAGCCATCAGGACCAGGAGGAAGCCATGGAGGCTCGCCCATAAGGAGCATTGGTGATACACCACAATCCTGGTATTCTTCAGGAATGCTCTCACCAGTAAAGCCAGAATAGGAAATAGCTTGCCTCACAGGAATACAAAGACTGGAATCATCTTCTTTTACTGCTGGATTTGACATCCCAGAGTCAGCAGATAACGCATTGCTAGCAGCCGGCTGCTTTGGCTTGGGCTGCTGAAACCAAGTAATCTTGAGGTCAGCCAAAAAAAAGAAAAGAAAGAAAAAGCAATGCAATATGACAAAGAAAAAAGTGACAGCTGATGCTTTTTCAACAATGATTGTAATTCAAAAGTGACAGCTGATGCTTTTCTTAGCAATGATTGTAATTCAAAAGGGAAACCATAACAATCAGTGTGAACACCTATAAAACATCTTTTCTAACTAAATAAATGGCTAGTGGGAATAAGCTACAAACCTCATCAGAATTCACAGCAGTCGCTTCCTTAACTTCAAAGTAACTGTCAATGCCAGCATCATCAAAGAGTTCCTCAGTCTGAATATGAGAGTTACCAAATAGTTCTTCATAATTTTCGTAACTCAGATCAATATCATCCATAGAAAAATCTTCATATATGCTGTCCTTGCTGAACATATGTTTGTCTGGCGTATACTGCACAAGGAAATCATAAGCACACATTAGTGAAAAATTAATATCTGAAGAAGCACGGGGCAGGGTAAGAACTTAAAGAGAGGAAGCCTATAGATGTTGCATATGCCAGTCCACAGAGAAAGAAATATATGAGAGAAAATCAAATGCAAATGAGGGAAGATCCTGTTAAGTCTTTTATCTGTACGCATCTGCAAATTTTCCCATTCATTCTTGCTGCCAAAACGAAGGCAGAGAAGGAATAGACAATATACAATTCCCAACTTAGAACTCACTAAGGAGATGCTTACGGTACGCTAACTTACATGTAGACCATTCATTACTCATAATGAATGGCCAATAGTTTACAACTTTACATGGTTAGCTATTTACCCCATAGGTGGTAGTAGACCACCAATAGTTATAAATATGGCAGGTATTCATTCCAATTAAGCACAGCATTAGTTTGTGTGATACGCACAGCTTTCCTATCATCTGGCTTGTGTTAATATTCACTTACATATGCTAATTATAACAAAAGTGCATCCTAATTTGTTCCCCAAAACAAAGATTTAAAAAAAATATTCTAAAAGAAACTCACCCTAATTTGTTTCTGAAAATGAATCTTACATATCACTCCACTGGTGGGATGCCATGTAACCTTGTCATGCTCACATTTCCAAAAATGTCCTGAATGACCCATGACATGGCAAGAATCAAGATTCATTTGTAATCCCACCAATGCTAGCATATTGTAGGCAGCGTTTATTTTTGGAAAAAATTCCAGTAGGGGTATATATTTTTACTAAGTTGCAATAAATTCTGTATCCAGTAGGGGTATATATTTTTACTAAGTTGCAATAAATTCTGTATCCAGTAGGGGTATATATTTTTACTAAGTTGCAATAAATTCTGTATAGTAAGTAACAAAAAATATACAATTGGAGTGTGCGTGCACAAAATGAAATAAAATCATGACATATGGTGCAAGTGAAGAACTCGCCAACTGTAGGGAGGAAAGCTGCTGGCTATCTTAAAACGACGGCATAGCGGGATAGTACTGTAGTAGTATATGCAACAGCATAAGTTTATTAATAGTTCTACATGTGGAAGGATATGTGAAAATCTTAATGCACCTTAGCTGTCGTCGAATCCACAGATACAGCTGTCTGATTATTAGCAGGTGTAAGAAGGTTCAGACCAGCTTCAGAAGATGAGCCTATCACAGACTTTTGCTTGTCTTCTTCATCAAGTGTTGCGCAAGCCATATCTAACAAACTGTTGTCCCCTTGAGCATTGTCTCCATTACTGACAGCACTGTCACTGATGCTCATCATGCTTATTACTTGCTCACAATTCAGCTCAGGAGCCACATTAGGAATATCCAAAATGAATGACCACATTCTCGAAAGCTCTGCAGATGATGGGCACCCCGAATAGCAGTTTATGTTCTGTCTTTTGTGTCCAGCAGCAGAGGATCCAGCACTATGCCCATTCCAGTCACAATTTTGGCAAAGTGAGGTGTTCTCTTCTAGGCAGCGGACCATGGCAGGCTGTGAAGCACACCGGTCACACAGAAGTGTTCTCGTATGGCGCCGAGAAAGAGCATTAGCTGAATGCACATTGCGATCGCATGACAAGCACAAAGAAGCCGCATCGGATCGGCAGTAAACCATGGACCTATGCTCCCCACAGTAATCGCAGAGAGCACCCATGATTTTTTTTATGGACAACACCCTAAGCCAGCTCCAGGATCTTTTACTTGGCCAACAACCCCTTCTTCACGAGCTTTCAAGATCACCCAAATTTGCAAGAAACCTGTGTAGTTGTGACAAGCAATTATTAAAAATGTGTGCTAGTAGAACTCATTAGGACGGAGAAGGATATAAAACCATAAACCAGCACCCAAGGAACCGCCTTTTCAATTCAAACAAAGAAAAGCTTTCAAAACATGCAGCAACAATCATGCTGCGCCACATAGACGTCTTGCATCAACGTAACAATAATATAAAACCATGGATAATATATATCTACTTCCTAATTGGGACATCTTGCCGCCATCTACATTAAGAAGATTTTTAGGTTTCGATGGGCACGTAGGCCCGTGGACTCCGCCTCAATTTACCGACCAGCATAAAGAAGTAGGAGTCCCACTACAAAAGTACAAACCACTAGTCTTGGGATCTTCTGCTCTCGGTACCTTCTATAATTCACAATGGTTGCTTGCAAGTATATATTCCCCACTGGTCAATAGGTACTGCAAGCATATCATTGTTCACATTTGAATGAACTATATTCTATCACAACTTTGCGAATCATCTACGGACAATATGCGGTTTGCAACAAGCATCGTAAATGCGGGGAATAATATCAAACAGGAGTTATAAAAATGAAGGGAACAAAGACATCACAATATTGATTTTGTCGGGCTGAAACTACTAAGAAACATTAGGAGGTGCTTATTTTTAATGTGAAAACTTAAAATGATCGATTTCTAGTACTAAAAAATGGCATTAGATAGCCCATTAGGAAAATGGAAATGGAAAAGAAAAAGCAAAGGAAACGAAATGGACTATTTGTTCGTGCGAAGAAAGTGGTACAAAAAGTTGTTTTATATGAAAGTTATATATTTTTTGAAAGTTGAGATATTTTCAGTTCGTGCGCACCTAAGCACGCTTTAGCGGATAAAGCTAAAATACATAGATTTTGACATCTCCTTAGCGAATAAATATATAATTTATTTTATTAAACTCTATTTAAATACTGAGCGTTCCTTTTTTGCCTATTTAATAAGGGAAGCCTATTAGTAAAAAAATCTATAATCGAAAACATGGTGACAATTAAATTAAGGAAAATTATGTTATTTTCATTAAAAAAATCCATCTGAAAAAAACGTGTATGCAGAAGGAATCATTTCACGCTTGCTGCTAAAAACGGAGGATGGCTCCTGGAGGAAAACCGATAATTGAAATTGAACTAGACGACAAAGACTGCTGTAGAAGGGTCACGAGCCACAGTGAAATCCACCGAAAGTCGCCGGCCCAATCGTGAAAACCCGAACCAAATCAACAGAAAAGTAAAACACCCCGGATCAAAGCAATCCGCGTGATCAGCATAAGAAAACGGCAGCCGTGGAAAATAAAGTAAAATCAAATCCAGCGACACCGCAGCTTCCCGAGCATAAAAAAATGGATCCAAACCACCGGACGCTGTGCTGGGACCGACACAAATCATCAGATTCGCGCTACCGGAGTTCCCAAATCCAAAGCTCCAAACAGAGACATGAACAAGCTACGTACGAAAGAAGGGAGAGGCGGCGCGCACCTTGAAGGAAGAAGCGAGCGAACCGCGGCTCGTCCTCAGATCCAGCCGGCGCCGGGAGACCCCAGGCGGTGGGGCGCGGCCAGAAGCTCGCTCCGGCGGCCCAGGCCCGGGTAGAAACTATTCTTTTTTCTCGGCGAGAGGGGGGAAAAAAGAGGGGCTGGCTGGACGGAGAGGGAATTTTCTGGGAGAGATAAGAGAGAGATGTACAGCAGAGGAGGAGAGGAGCACAACAAAAGAGAG